ATGTGTCGTAATTTCCCGAACGCTGCCCAGCCGAGTTGAATCCGTCGATTGACCTCTCGGTCGAAGTTGGACTTACCTAGTCGGACTATTTGTCCCAGGTAAACGTACTCGTCAACAACTTCGAGCATAGTGCTCCCCACAACTACCGGCATAGATGTGACATGGAACATTGAACATAATCTTTGTTTTGTCTATGTTCATCTTAAGACCTATCCGTTGGGAGACACCATTGAGGTCATTGAGCATAGTGCTAAGGCCCTCCAGCGATTCTGCCATAAGGACTATATCGTCGGCAAATCGAAGGTGAGTGATGTACTCGCCATTGATGTTAATATCGTATCCTTTCCAGTCCAGTAGCTTGAAAACGTCTTCCAACGCAGCGGTGAAGAGTTTCGGGGATATAACGTCACCCTGTCTTACACCTCTCTGCAGTTGGATAGGTTTCGATCTCTGGTTCTGTACTCGGATAGCCATCGTAGCCCTACTATACAAACATTTAATATAATGCCGTACAATAAATAAATGTATCAATTAATACTTAAGTATATTTTACCCAAGCTAGCTATTATACCTTATATAAAACAAAAATCGACGCTGCGTTAGTTTATCTACGTTTTTTCTTCCTATTCAATCTATATTGGGTTTTATTCCAGGTTTCACCATTGGGGGTATGTAATGTTCAGTCTAGAGGTTTTAAAAGGTCTAGCTAGGAAAACTGGAGTACTAGAACTCTACAAAATAAAAAAATATAATTTTGTAAAGAATTTATTGTTACCCATTCATTCATTCCTCATAATAGAGAAAATAAATAAGCTGCCAAAATATGTCCAATTCAACATTATGTATAGGAACAGTTAGGATTTTAGAACTTTAAATTACATTTAAGAATACTATAACACAAATAATTGATGTCACAATCATTTGGCTTAATATGCCAATTCACATTTGAAAACCTGTAAATTAATAAATATTTAAGTTATCTGCTGTCAGCGACCTTTATTGTTGTAAAAAGATATAGGTAGAAAAAAAAAACATTGATAGGTAAGTATTATCGACGAGGACCTCGTCAACCCTATTGAATTTTGTTGTTAATCAAAAATAGGTAATTTAAAGCCAAACACGGTAGTAATTACATTTAATAATATAAGTAACAGATTTTTAAGAGCATATATTATGAAATAGTTTCAATTTTTTAATATAAATTTTAAATCCCCTTGTGAAATGTTACCACACTTCCCTGCTGGTAATGAATTTTACATTATCATTAGTAATAAAAATACTTTTTATTATATTACTAATATAATGAAATTTCATTTCATTAATTTAGAAAATGAAAACATAACCAAACTACACAACACACTCTTTTACTTCGTTAAAACTTAATCTCTTAGATGGTTTGAGCAAAACAACGGCCATTTGAAAATTATGTCAAATTTAGTTCCCGGTATACTCAATGACGGCGCTTCAAATCGACACAATCATTAATTTTTAGGTTATAGCACAGAGTACCTTCGTATAAACTGAAATTTTATACGAAGGTACTCTTATTGGGTTATAGCCAGCCCAACGTAATTACCTCTACACGCCATGGTCTACTACTAGTTTAGAAGGAGGTCAGTGATGTCACATAATTTGTGTTGCCATATAAAGTTCTTTAATATATACGTATTATGTAGTAATAATAAGAGAATGGAATGTTTAGGGAAGATTTGTTGTGTAATTAAAATAATGTGCCTTAAATGAACAAAAATAATTCTCATAATGTCTTTGATATTACGTGTAGTATATATAAAAGATATGTTAAGGCCTTAAAACCTTTCTGTCTGTAAAAAGGACTGGTAAAATGGCACTATTTAACATAAAATACACCATACCTGTTTTTTTGCATTATTTTAATAAAGAATTATTTTGATTAAAAAAATTACCGTCCATTTTTAAAAGTCTGAGACAATAAATGAATATACGTTTTAATAGCTTTAAAGTAGATTTGTATAGATATAGAAGGTATGCCGTGTAGTGGCGGTTGAGAATATCCACTACCCCATATCTTCCCGTGGGTGTCGTAAGAGGCGACAGAGGGACACAGAAAGTTGATGGGCAGCAGCACCTTCCTAATAACAACAATAACATACTAGAAAACTGCGGTTGCCAACCCGCTCGCCAAGCGTGGCAACTATGGCAAATATCCCCCCATAAGCAACGACGCAAATAAACGGCCCCCAGTCCCCGGCATTCCTGGCTACGGTGGCGACCATGGTAACAGCGGGGCAGGGGGTGCTAAGAATCTCCGGTGGAGGTTCGGTTGCCACCTACGACGACTCGACCTGGCAACGTATAACGCACGCACCCTGAGGACTGACGAGAAGATACTGGAGCTGGAAGAAGAGGTAGACAAGTTGCGTTGGCATATTATTGGATTTAATGAGGTCCGAAGTGAGGGGGAGGACACGGTAATCCTCGAGTCCGGCAACTTGTTCTATCACCGGGAGGGCGACCATCTGTCCCAAGGAGGTGTCGGACTTATCGTCCACTAGTCTCTCGTCAACAACGTTGTAAAGATTGGGAGTGTGACCTCGAGGGTCGCGTACCTGATACTCAGAATCACCAAACGGTATTCGCTGAAGGTCATACAGGTCTACGCACCAACCTCGGCACATCCCGATGAGGAGGTGGAGGAAATGTATGAGGATATTTCTAGAGCCATGCATTCCTCCAAAACCCACTACACGGTGTTGATGGGAGACTTCAACGCAAAACTAGGCACAAGAGAAGCCGGTGAGCTGAAGTTAGGGAAATTTGGAGTAGGGCAACGGAACCGTAGGGGCCAGCAGCTGGCTGACTTTATGGAGAAAGAGGGACTCTTTATGATGAACTCTTTCTTCCAGAAGCGGCCCCACAGAAAGTGGACCTGGTCGAGCCCCGATGGTTCGACAAAAAATGAGATTGACTTCATTATGACGACCAGACGCCAACTGTGCAGTGATGTCTCAGTGATCTCAAGGGTGAAAACCGGCAGCGATCACCGAATGGTTAGAGGCACACTGAACCTAAACGTTAAGTTGGAGAGGTCTCGTCTAATGAAGTCAACGCTCGGTCCCCCTCGTGCTCTAATCCAGAATCCCGAGACTTTTCAGCTCGAGTTACGTAACCGCTTCCAGTGCCTAGAAGATTGCAATGCAGTGGACGATATGAATGACAAGCTCGTGGAAACTGTCCATGCGGTCGGAGCTAAGTTCTGCAAGACCCGCCGCAGAAGAACACAACAACTCTCCGATCACACTCTTAATCTCATGGATGTTAGACGGGAGATGAGGCTGCAATCGTCAACAGATTTGACAGCATACAGGCAACTGAACAGACAGATCTCCAAATGCATGCGGCGAGACTTACGCAACTTTAATACTGCTCGTATTAAAGAAGCGATCGAGCGGAACCAGGGCTCCAATGTCTTTGCCAGAGATCTGTCTGCCAGAAAGAGCCAACTGTCAAAGCTGAAGACCGAGTGTGGCAGTATCGTTTCCGGGACACCTGAGATTTTGAGTAAGATTGAGAGGTTCTATGGCCAGCAAGATGCAAGAGCAAGTCTTACCCGACACTATTCCGATGATATCCCGGACGTCAGTCTGAGCGAGATTAGAATGGCTCTCCAGCACCTTAAAAACGGCAGGGCCCCAGGCGAGGATGGAATAACAGCGGAGCTTCTGAAAGCGGGTGGAACACCGGTACTTGAAGTCCTTCAGAAGCTCTTCAATTCCGTCCTTCATGGTGGCACTACTCCGGAGGCGTGGAGCAGAAGTGCGGTGGTCTTGTTCTTTAAGAAAGGCGACAACGCTCTCTTGAAGAACTACAGACCGATTTCCCTTCTGAGCCGCGTCTACGTGCTGTTTTCGAGAGTCATTACGAATCTTCTCGCACGCAGACTCGACGACTTCCAGCCTCCCGAACAAGCCGGTTTCCGAAAAGGCTTCAGTACCATAGACCACATACATACACTGCGGCAGATTGTACAGAAGACCGAAGAGTACAATCTGCCACTTTGCCTGGCATATGTGGACTATGAGAAAGCCTTTGATTCCGTCGAAATTTGGGCGGTGCTACAGTCCCTTCAGCGGTGCCAAGTTGACTCTCGGTATATCGAGGTGCTGAAGTGTTTGTACAATGAGAGTTTGTTCTCATCATTTTCAAGCTTCAGACTTTTTTCCAAACAGTAAGTATAATTATGTTTTAATTATTTTATTGTACATAAATTATATTTATATGTATTTCCTATGTTATTCATTTAGTTTACGCTAAGGCGAGTTTCTCGTCAGATAACGAGATTATTTATTGTTCCAGATTCTAAAAGGCAGAAGTTGTTTCCTTATGTCGTACCGTCTCAGAATATTCCTAAAAGAAGCTCTGATAAAGAAGTACCATTAGCCAAAAAAAATAAAATCAATTGCTCGAGAAAATAGGGCTGATATTAGACACAGGAAAATAGTGGAATCAAATAAAGAGCTTGGACTTGCTATTGAGAATGAAGAAACTAAATTTGAAGATGGATTTGAGGACAATAATATAACTGATAACAACAGTCATCTTCATGTCATGACTTCATCGACACAAGTCAATTTAGTGGATTACAGAAATTATCGTCCTCGAGAAGATTGGAGTATAGCTGACATTCTTTGTGACAAAGAACCTTTGGAAAAGTGCACTCAAATAATTTTTCTTCCTATGTGGGAAGAGGATCAGCTTTAAAGCAATTAACCCTCTCAGATTTACTCAGTAGTGATATGTATTTATTTACTTTTACAGGTATTCATTCAATAGAACTTTTAGAAACATTGGTGACTTGTGTTAGTGAATTGGCCTTAGATGCTCCAACAAATAAGAAAATGTTATTTGTAAGAGACAGAGTTATTTTGACAATGGTAAAAATTAAACAAAATATGTCATTTAGAGCCATTGGTGTTTTGTTTGGTATAAACAGGCAGACATGTTCTAATTATTTTAATAATATGTGCCCCATGCTGAGTAGAGTACTCAAAGTTGTTATTCCTTGGCCTGATATCGAAATGATACGTAGCAACCTACCTAAATCATTCCAAAAATATAAAAATACAAGAATTATATTAGACTGTGCTGAAACTGTGATTGAAAAATGTAAATGTTTAAAATGTAGAATATTGACATACTCTCAATATAAAAAAAACAATACAGCGAAGTTTAATATTGGAATAACTCCTTCTGGCCTTATAACTGAAATAAGTGCATCTTATGGTGGTCGAGCATCAGATAAACATATTTTAAATGAATCAGGAATCTTAAATAAATGCGAGTTTAATGATGGAGTGATGGTGGATAAAGGATTGAATCCGAATGTAATGAAGTTAGTTAAGGATATTAATTGAATAGTTAGTACAAATAACATTTGATTAATTATGCAATGTATTTACATATTAATGTTCTTGTTACAGCATCTGCTTCAGCTTGTCAGGCCTCCTTTCTTGAGTCAGAAAAAGCAGATGACCAAAGAAGATGCAATCCGCACTGCAGAGATTGCACGGGCAAGAGTGCATGTTGAGAGAGTGATACAGAGATTACGACAATATAAACTTCTATGTGGACCATTACCATGGTCACTGGCGCCTTATTTTAATGATATATTAATTATTGTTGGTGGTCTTACAAATTTGGGTCCACCAATTATTCACATTGATAAATTTACGTAGTTATTGAAAATTATACCTAAAAGCGAAACAAGGGAAGCTTATGAATAGGAAGGGTATTGTAAGAGTGGCAATAAATTTTTACAGTGAATAAATAATTTAGTACACAGAGTTGTATTTATTTTTATTCAAATTCAGTCATAATTTGATCCATACTCGTTAACTATTCTAGGAAGAAATTTCTCAAAATAAACATTAACAAGACATACACAAATTTCCAAAATATGATTTTCATCAAATGAAACTCTTCTTACAGCTAAATCCTTTCCTATTTCAGAGTAAACTAAATAATCACATTCTGTAATACCTGACAATAACATACCTACTTGCATTTGAAAATAATGCTGAGAATTTTTTTTTTCAAATTTTGATTTTTATTCAATATAGGAATTGCATTCATTTCTATAAGTTCATCTGCAGTTAAACGAGTTCCTTCCTTTAATGTCTTAATCTCAATATTTCTAAGAAAATTTCCATCGTTATCCATGGCAGTACCGTCTAGACTTGCAGAAAGCCATGGTAATTCTGGTCGAACCAGCAATCCAGACTCTAAAATCATGCAGCTATAATGCTCTGCATATAAATCTCTTGCGACTGCTTCACAGCGAAGGCCTCTGATAGTATCTTCATTCCCAAGGAAATTACTGTGAAAAACCTCTTGATATCTTTTATCCCAATCAGCATTTTTATTAGAATAATAAGTAAACTGGGCTCTCGCTTTGGAGGCCGTTAGTCTTACTTTTCTAGCTTTATGCCAAGAAGGAGTACCCTGCTCAGCATTGATTATTTCTGTACTTTGGTCTAACGATACAGCTACATATCTGTTGTAAAATTCAAATTCATTTACTTCACATGTCTTCAACTTTTCTTCAGTCAGTTTTCTTAATACATTCATTACCCGCCACGAATTAAAAGTCAATAGTTTTTCAGGAAATGTTGTCTTGTCTACACTTCTACTAATTACCCTATCACCATAATCAACAACTCCATCACCTCTTCGCATGAGACTTGTAAATAAAGAATATTCACTGTTTGGTGTGCCTGAAATAAACAACATAATTTTTGAAACTTCATTTTAGTTTGTACATTCAATCTGCAAATAACGGTAATATTTTTTATCAAATTGGTGTTTTCCAGGTAGGTGCCATATACTCTTATGCTTTACAAGTATTAACTCTGCATTAACTTCATTCATCATGGATCATGGATCATGGATGTTTGGAATTTAATCCCGACGTGCGCAGTACCAGTGCTTGTACGTGAATTATGTTATTATTTTTCTCTTTTTTCCAACCGAAATCACCATTCCACTCCGTAATAATTCTTCACCAGAACGCATTGGTTTTGTGTATCCTGCAGACGCATTAATTACACCGACTATTGACAACATAATTATTGTCTTAGACAGCAAAATGCCACATAAATCTTATTTGTATTTAATATTTATGTTTTTCCCTGACGTTAACTGTTACGAAAACTGTCGGTGTCGTTCTTAGACAGATTCACAATTTTGACACTAGAGGCGCTAGTTAGAATCTTTGCATCGTCAATTGACAATCCTAAGCGCTGACATTGTCGCGTTATAAAGCTATTTTGGGATCCACTGTCCAGCAATGTATAGACGCTTTGTTCGTTTCCACGCGAATCCCTAACTACAATACGGGCTGTACCCAGCAACACGGTTGAAGGAGGCTGTGCTCCCATATTTGCCAATGAGCACAGAGCGACATCACCAGGTCGACCGCTAGAATCGTCGACTTTAGTAGGGGTGAATTCCTTGTCCGCTTTACTTGACGCAGATATGTTGCTATTTTCGAAATGTAACGTGTGATGTTTTCTGGCGCACTTGTTACACGCGGAACTAGAATTGCATTTTGCAACTAAATGCTTATCGCTTAAACAATTCAGACATAAGTTGTTTGTCCTTACTATTCTATAACGTTCGCTGGGTGAATGTTTACGAAACGTCGCACAATTGTGTAAATTACCGTGTTGTTTATCTTTACATAGGATACAGGCATTCGGGGGTGGTACCGACGCAGCGGTTACGTACGTTAACGACCCTGCGGTTTTACATGGTTGAGTTTGTCTACGGTCGACGCATTTCTTAACTTCTTGTTTAACGTTTGAGGAGCGCTGCATCACTTTAATTTGGTCTCGCACAAACGATGCTAATGAATCAAAGGGGGGCATTTCAGAGCTACGATGCTCCATTTCAAACGCACGCACGGTGTCGGGGTCTAGTTTCTTTAGTGCAATATGGAGAAACACCACGTCCATAAGGTCATTAAATTTCAAGTTCTTAAGTGCAGCCACCGATGCCACAAATTTATCTAAATACTGCTCTAAGCCGTTGATGTTCGCGGATGATATAGGTTTAAGGTCGAATATCTGGTTTAAATATTCGGAAGCTAACATTCTCTTATCTTCATATTTGGTTTTAAGCGTTTCGAATATTAAAAAATAATTGTTTAATGAATTCTTAAATTTTCGTGAACACTACACATTGAATAAGACTAAATTTACTGATTTTATCGCGTTTATTTCATTACATTTACTTATTTTTAATTCCCGACGTTTCGGGTGCTTTACAGCACCCATGGTCACGGGGGGGACTGAGATGTTTGACGTCCCAATGTCATAGTTAGTCCAGCTACCTTCAGTTTTTGAATATTAATTTTTGGTCCGATTTACGCAAAACGAGCTTATAGTATCATGAAGTCTTGCAGTGGTATGCTTAGGTTTGGATTTAATTTTGTTAATTATAGGATCCAGAGAGTCTTGCTATTTTTTCTTAATATATTAGTTATAACTAATATATTAAGAAAAAATAGCAAGCAATCCCTACCAATATTTATGAATACTTTGAAAAAATCTACTTAAAAAAAAGCTGAATACAATACACCATACCAAAATCGACAAAAATATTTACGTTTAATTTTAACTGTCAAAATGGCGTCGATAAAGCAGCGCCCTTTTGACCCGAAGATTTCGCAACCGATTAAGTTTGCGCTTTTCATATATTTTTTTTTAAATTACTCCGTTATTTCATATTCAACGTCATAATTTGATAAAATTTGGGAGCGCTTTGCACTTGAAATTAGCAGGAAGTTCCAGGGATGGCCTGCAGGGTCAACCAATTTTTTATAGCATATGCTGCAGAACTAAGTTTGCTAGCTAGTTTAGATATATGAGGGCTCCATTGAAGCTTCGTGTCAACTGTAATTCCGAGAAAAACAGTGGATTCAACAAGACTCAGCTCCTCCCCATTTAAAAACACACTGCTTGCTGCTTCACCTATTTAACATGTGGTGTTATTAATATTTTAAACATTTCGTTTTATTACCGTTTAAAAGCAAATTATTGATGTTAAGCAAGTGAACTACTTTTGATATTATAGCATTATTCACTTTGTCATATTTTAAAATATGCCTTTCAAGTCGGAAAATCAATGAATTATCATCAGCAGATAAAACTATATTATGGTTATTCCCTACCAAGTAAGGTAAGTCATTAATTTAAACTAAAAACAGGAATGGGCCAAGAATTGAGCCCTGAGGAACACCCATAAATACTACCGATCCGGAAGAATTGCTCCCGATAATAACAACTGTTTGTGTTATATTATTCAGATATGATGTAATAAGTTTAAGCACTTAGTTTTTTACACCATAATGATTTAACTTCCTGATTAATGTCTCATGGTGAAAGCAGTCGAAAACCTTAGAAAGGCTATCTAGGGAACCAAGATTGGGTTATAAAATATACCCAGAGCATCCTCTAAATTCTCCCATGAACAGAAAAGCAAAAAACCATTAATCAGCTCAACACTGGCGTCAGTTGTCGAGCGACCCCTTATAAAACCAAATTGATTTTTATGGAGTAATTTATTTACATTAAAAAAACTTAACATTTTAAATATATTGAAAAATTTTAAAAAATTACTAAGCATTGGCAGTCCACAAATAGGTATAAAATTAGTGGGGCTCAGTATATTACCAGATAAAGGTATGACTTAACTATGTTCCATTAAATCGAGTGCAAGTTGGGATGCGATTGCATCTATTATAGACGCAATAACATTAACGGAAATCCCCCAAAGATCTACTGTTTTCTTAATATCAATAGTTTTTAAATATTTTACAATGTCTCCTGATAATATTTTATAAAATGCAAATAGTTTTTTCTTTTTACACAGATTTACATTTTGTTTAAGTACTCGGTGATAGTAGGATAGGAATTCAGTGACTTTGTAACTGTAAGTTTGCCAAGATCAATATGTCGTTAAAATAATGTTCAAACGCCGTTGCAACATCTTGATCTGATTATGTTAAATTATTGTTAGAATTTCATTCAAAATTTGAGTTGTGTAGTATCATCTTGCCAGTTTCACTATTATATACTACAAGACATTATAATTTTATAACAGGCATTCTTTATATTGTTTTTTAAATGTAAAAGTTTAAGATTTTTCTTGACTGCGTGTTTTTTTACATAATATTCTCTAAATGAAACATTATGATTATATATGCTCTTTCACTGTAAAGGTCATATAAGTTTTGTCTACTACTATGGATTCTTACTGTCGCACATTGAGGAGTGTGTTTTAGAGGTAATTTTATTAAATTCAAGACTTACAGTTTCTACAAGTTGCTAAGAGAGGAAATATGTGCCCAAGATTGGGACATGTTTAGGCTGTTACTTTAATTTACTTATATAAGAGTGTTATAAGTTTGAAAAAAAAAACTTTATATCAATAATAATTAGGTATATGTTATTATA